GGAAAGTCACTTTTCGCAACGTTCTTTGAACGTTGCGGAAAGGTCTTTTTTTTGCAACGTGCATTTGAACGTTGCGAAATGTCTCTTTTTTGCAACGTACATAAGAACGTTGTTAAAGGTCACTTTTGGCAACGTTTAATAAACGTTGCTAAAAGATCTTCTTTTGCAACATACATTGAACGTTGCAAAATATTTCTTTTTTGCAACGTATATAAGAACGTTGCTAAATGTCACTTTCTGCGACAATTAACGAACGTTGTTAAAAACGATCCCACAACAACAAAAGAAAAACTCCTCAAAATCAAATCATAAGCCCTAATTTTTCCATCTCTCGTCTCCGCCTCCATCTTCTCTCTTCTCCGCCCTGATCCATTCACTTCCATCTTTTCCATTGGCAAGCTCGGTGGTGCAAGAGGTCATTGGGCATCGCATCCAGGACGTTGACTAGGCAATCGTTGGCTATGTCATCAACGTCCTCGCCAACGAGGACTTCGATTTCGGCGTCGACGGCGAGGGAGCCTTTGAAGCTCTAGGCGAACTCCTTTTCGACTCTGGCTGCATCACTGATGACTCTGTGTGCCCTTCATTACGTATGGAATCTTTTCAATGACACTCCTACTTGCATTTTAAGTTAGACTTCTTTGGTTTCTGAATTTGCTTGGAATTGGAATTTATCCATCAATTTGCTGGTTTTAGGGTTCTAAAAGGCGTTTATTCGTGAAATAAAAACTTCATAAAAAAAAAAAAAAAAAAAAAAAAAAATGATTCAGTAAATGAATTGAACGAAGAGATTAATAAGAAATTAAATCTTGTATAATAATATATATGCTACTTGTTTTGCTCGCGAATTTAATAATCCAGATGCTTCGATCTAAAGTTGTTAAGAACATATGCTACAACATTATATTATATAAAAAAAGGAATCAAAATTATTCCGACTGCCAAATTGATCAAAGGACCAATGGATGCCCTTCAAAGAGTGCAGCTGCCATAAGTAGCGAAAGCCTTTTTCTGTTCATGATTGAGACAATTACAATAAATTAGAATCGACACAGTATCGTAAATTTGAAAGCTAAACAAAGGAACAATAGAATGAATACCTCTTTAGAGTAGACAAGTGTTGCTACCCATGCATCCAAGGGTTGTCAAGTATCCACCAACGTTCCAAACAATGTCAAGGTAAGCTCCAACCTTGGATGATAGTGATGCACAACATAGCAACAGATAAACCTACAATCAAGCAATCCAATACATCACTTCCCTTTAAATTGTAAACTAAAATTTCCAGTAATCACTGGTACTAATCATAATTTTCAAATTGCCAAACATCAGACGTTACAAAAGAAGCATGGTTAAGTGTCAAGGAGAAATAAGATTAGATATCTACAAATAAACCAAATTAAAAAAATCAATTCAATTCAAAAACAGGGATTCTAATGTCACATCTGTAAATTGTAATCAAGAGGTAGAGGATGAAGAGGGTGCGGAGTAGAGGGCCACTCTATTGGCACTGCAGTTGTGATATTTTTAAACCGAGAAAGTGTAAATTGGAAAATTCTCACAGAAGACAAAACATTACCTTTGACAATAATATTAAACCTCACAGCCCAAGAATAGAAACCCATAAATTAGCGATTGAAAAATTCAAACAGAAAAAAAAAACTTACCTCTACATAGCCCAGCAATTCAAACCCATAAATTAGCAATTAATCAAATCTAACAGAGAAAAAATTTACCTCTACCACTAATATTGTACTCCACGATTGGAGAGATCGAATTGCAAGGACACGCCAGCTAAAACCCCGACTGTTTTAATTTGCACTGACCAGCACTGAAAAATTGTATGGAAACAACATCCAATGTTAGATTAACAAATTAAAAGGCTTGTGTAGACGAAATCAAATGACATAACGAAGATTGTCGTTTCCCTTCCAAACGAAGGAAAGGAAGATAGATGGATAGTGTTTGTGTTGTTCTAAGAACCGTCACAACAAAACCATATATGTCTAAATTCCTTCTGACTTCTTTCATGATCGAGAGAGAAGAAGAGAAATGATCGGATTTTCCAGAGATTTTGTTTGCCTCTTTTCTACTATTGAGTGAGAAAATTAGTGTTAGTATCAAATGGCCTTGGGTAACATATCCATTTGCCAGAGGATAAAAGATGAGGAAATTTCTATGTCCAATTCCATCTAGTCCTTCGTAAAAATGTTCACATTTTTTCCAATATCCATTTTTAATTATTTAAACAAAAATACCCCTTTTAGGAAATTCTATTTTCAGTCCAAGACTCCTGTTCATTTCCCCCCAAATTAATCCCAATTTCATAACCCTTAAATTTCAAATCGATTATATTTACTTGCTGTGAAATCTGAAGGAGCGATTGGAAGGGATCTAGGGTGATTTCGTGGCTGAAGGAGAAGGAAGGGACCGTCGGCTGGCAATTGGGGATTGGGCGAAGCTGAAGGGAAGGTAACGACAAGTCCACAGCGTAACAGTGTTTTCTGTGGAATGTGAGTCATTTCTCTTCTCCTTTTTTTTTTTTTGTTTTATGCCATTACATCCATGATTTCTCATCTATGTTATATGATTTGTGAATGTTGAAAAATTTGAATGTTGAGTTTGAGTTGAGTGTTGACTTGGACTGATCACTATTGCGATGTTGTCTATTACCTGTTGGAACTTGGAAGACGAAGTTGGAAATACTTGGAACTTGGGTTTGGCTGTTTGGGTCACTTTGAAAAAATATTTTATTTTTGGGTGTTCTTCTAAGTCAAGATCTGCTGTTGTTGGGTTTATATGTATTCCAAGGAAATCACAAGGTGATGAGGCGACAATAATGAATAATCCCAATAACTTCCCAAACCTTGAGACCAAAAACGACAGTATTCTTCTTGAGACAAAAAATGACAGTATTCTTAGAGAGTTCTGCATTCAGATCAGAAGCCATATTTAGGAAGTCAAACAACCTGCAGAAATTTGTAAAAACCCTATTTCATCTTATTTCGTTTCAGACCGCTAAATGAATCAACATCAAGATATGTATAAGATCCATTTCTAAAAACCTATTTCATTTCAAACTCCTAAATGAATCAGTATCAAGATATGCATAAGATCCATTTGTAAAAATCCTATTTCATATCTCATATCATTAAGTTACATGATTAAGTCACGGGAAAAAGACCTATAATTAATTGCACTCTGTAAATAAATTCAATAAAATAAAGAAACCTCATTTACATATATATTGAATAACTTTTAATATTATTTAATCAA